GGCGGGGTCCAGGCGCAGCGAGAAGCGTCGTTATTTGTTTTTCTTCTATTTTTACATCCCTGGGTGCCTCGTAGGCGGGGTGAGGGCTGTGCTGGTGTAGTGCAGGACACCCTGGGAATGCTTGAAGGCTTTGCATGTTTTAGTAAGCCTTCTCGTTTGCAGAGCCAGGATGAGTCTGTTTGGATCAACGTCAGGGTTTGGTACCGGAGGCACGAGCATGTTCGGCGGTACAACTGCAGATAACCATAATCCAATGAAGGTATGTGTATTGCGCCCCGTGGGAGTTACTGTTCCTATAGAAACTACTAATCCCATAGAAGTAGTAGGGTTTCAGTGCACAGTTTTCAAATGTAGCTGATTTTCGTGGAATCCCAGACTGGTTTGGGTTGGAAGAGACCTTAAAGCTCATCCAGTTCCAACCCCCTGCCATGGGCAGGGACACCTTCCACTAGAGCAGGTTGCTCCAAGCCCCTGTGTCCAACCTGGCCTTGAACACTGCCAGGGATGGGGCAGCCACAGCTTCTCTGGGCACCCTGTGCCAGCGCCTCAGCACCCTCACAGGGTGTCATCTCAATCTGCCATCAGTCAGTTTAAAGCCATTTATTTCTTTTTTGTGCTTTGTCCTTTATAGGATATTGAAGTAACATCTCCACCTGATGACAGCATATCTTGTTTAGCATTTAGTCCACCAACATTGCCGGGTAATTTCCTCATTGCAGGATCATGGGCAAATGATGTAAGTACTCACAGACCTACAGATGAATAAAGTGGCAGCACTGGAGCCTAAAGTGCAAAATGCAATCGTAAAAACTTATGCCAAGGTACCTGAAAAATCTTTCTCACTGCAAAATTTGTGTCCGGTCCCAAGACACTAAGGTTGATGTAGCCAAACTGCTTCAACTGAGAGATTCTGTTGTGATCTTATAAGTCATTCCTCTGCCTGTGTGTTTTAAGCTTCACCTTGGAATATATAGTCAGTGTTTTCCCTGTTTGATTTTTATTAGTTTTATTTTTCTTTTTCCTACTTGTTTGGCTTTGCCCAGTGAAAGAACCATGAACACACTGGTAAATTACTCAGTTTGATAGTACAGCCTCAAAAAGATTAAGTTCCTACAACCTTATTCAATTTGATTGGATTGAAGAGTGAGATCCCAGCTGGGATAAACCGGGAGGTTAGACAAATGTGAGACATTTTTTAACTTGTGTCTGTTGGCCAGTAGCCTGCCTAGCTGAGGATTAAGGGTTCTCCAGGAGAGCACTGGGAGGTGTTCCGTGATCATAAGGTGCTTCTGAGGTGGGGTTGAGCTGTGGCTGTCCAGATACAAGGAACATAAGCAGAGAAAATAAGGTTTCACTAGTTCTGAGAAAAGCTTGGTGTTATATTTCTCGTTGGATAAACTAAGGCTGGGATCTTCAAGAAGAGAAGTCTTTTTAAGTCCTTAGTATTACTATGTTACATCTGCATATGCTTCTCCTGTTACAGGTTCGCTGCTGGGAAGTTCAAGATAATGGACAGACAATTCCAAAGGCTCAGCAGATGCACACAGGGCCTGTATTAGATGGCTGCTGGAGTGATGTATGTTCCTATTTAAAAATAAACAATTTTTACCAAAACCCTAAGTAAGATGGCATGTGGTTTCCAGACTGACATGAGTGCTACATAACTACTGCATAGATTTACATTACTGTAATATGTGCTAAGCATGTCCTAATCAAATAGACTCACATGGGTGTAAGAAGGATAAAAGTGAGTTGAAAAGTAAGAATGTATTTAAAGCTAGATAACAGCTAACACAATTTTCTCTTTTACAACATACAGTCATACATAAATGCTCATTTTTATGTTTCTTCTTTGTTTTGCAGTCCCTGTATATGTTACATTAATGTTATGATATTACTAGAAGAGAATAAGACTTGACAATTTTCTAGTAAATACTGTGTGATAGAGGTATTTAATCTCTTGGCCTTATTCTTGTTTTTTAGGATGGGAGTAAAGTATTTACTGCTTCCTGTGATAAAACTGCCAAAATGTGGGATCTCAACAGTAATCAAGCTATCCAGATTGCACAAGTAAGCAAGCCTCAAACTATTAGGTGTTGGTTGTTTTTTTTCCTTTTCTGTTTTTATTAGAAGCTACATTTTATTAGCAAATCAAGCTAATGTTTAGTGCTTCTAAAGTAGATACTGCTATATGAAGAAGAGGTTGTAGGGTGTGTTGTCTATTTTTGAGGTAATGATGAGCACATGAATAGGGAGACCTGCAATCAAGGTGATCTGAATAACTTGTGCAGCTGTAGCCTCTATTTTACTTGAAAGAGCTCTTTGAACTTCTGCATTGATCTCACGAAGTCACCCTTCTGCATTATGGGGGGGGGACGACACCATAAGAACTCATTCACTTTCACAAATACAGCTTTCTGCTGCAGCAGTAATGGGGATTATAATTTACATTCTCTATGTAGATGTTAATGTCTGTTCTTAGTTCTGGTGATTAAAATGAGTTACCAGTTGTATAATTTAAGAAAAGAGTCCTTTGAATGATTGCTTCTTGCATCTCATTTAAGGTGATGAAGTTCAGATTCTTAGCCTTGATTTTAAAATCAGGTAACATGCTGGTGTAATTAACAAGCCTTTATTCCTGTAGCTGTTGTCAGAAGCTGGGTTTCTTATTACTTTAGTACAGTTTGTTGTTTAATATAAAGTGTTAATTTTTAGCAAAATGGATTTTTAGCCCAAGGAAGTTGTGAATGCTCCATCCCTGGCAGTGTTCAAGGCCAGGTTGGATGGAATCTTGGGTGACATGGTTTAGTGCGAGGTGTCCTTGCCCATGGCAGGGGGGTTGGAACTACGTGATCTTAAGGTCCTTTTCAACCCTAACTATTCTATGAAAGTCCTGCTGTTCATACTTTCTGTTTCTGCTGTGACCATCTTTCTATGTAGGGTGACTTAATTGTAGTTCTTTGTGTCAGGAGCCACTTTTTTTTTTTTTTTTTAATGTGGGGGTCTTAGAGCACTAAAAAAACAAGTAAGGTCATGACCAACCCTAACTGCTGTGACTAAAATAATGAATCACTTTTCTTGAATGGGTAAAAGGTGTAAATATATGCAAAATCTGAGGAGCATAAACAGGAAATGTGGATTGTTACTTTATTAAGTGTATGTGTGTTTTCCCTTTTCTTCTTCAGCATGATGCTCCTGTGAAGACTATCCACTGGATTAAAGCACCAAATTATAGCTGTGTGATGACAGGAAGCTGGGATAAAACTTTGAAGGTATGATTTTTACCTGAACACAAAGTGTGCTAGTAACCTGTGTAGGAAAATATTTGTGAAGTGAAAGTGTTTTAATAAACACTAATAACCCAAACAGATTGTGTGAAATGATGCAATTTCATTAGAGTTGTAATATTCTAGCTATAGACAAGAATGAAACAGCTTGGTACTGTTTGTGTTCACTTTACTGAACTAATTTAAATGGTGTATCCTCAATTCCAGGCGTAAGTTTGTTCATTTTTCTGTTTCCATTAGTTCTGGGATACCCGTTCACCAACACCCATGATGACATTGCAGCTCCCTGAAAGATGTTATTGTGCAGATGTGGTAAGCCATGATACAGGGTAAACTAGTGTAAGGTAGATGACTGGGAGTGTGGACATACTGTTAGTCTTTGAGGCTTCTGTAGGTCAGTACTGCCTACCAGCTGTTAGTATTTGACCTCTGTAGGATTGTAGTGATAAACCAGAAACTGCTATTCTTGGTCAGGCTCTGGAAAAAAGGTATTTGCATCGTACAAAACATGCTTAGTATCCTTTTAGCATCACAAAACCAAGTCTGCACTAGCACTGACCTACCCCTGTTTCTGGCTGAGTTTGTATACCACTATTGTTATTCACATTGGAAGAGTCGGCTAATATTAGATTTTTGGTATGCTTAATTTCTCAATGGCAGGGAAAAAACAATGTTTTGTTTGAAGATATGTCTGCAGATTAACTTTGTCTTTCTCTTCTTCCCCTTTCCCTCCATCCCTTCTTCCCCAAAAATATTCTAATCCCTTTACCTTCTTCAGGGATTTCTGCAAAATAGTAAGTTGAATTCTCTGTGATGCTATTAATACAAGTGTCTTTCTTCCAACCTGTTCTACAATTTTATCCAGGTTCATCCTATGGCTGCTGTGGCCACTGCAGAAAGGGGTTTGATAGTTTATCAGTTAGAGAACCAACCTTCTGAATTTAGAAGAATAGAATCTCCTCTTAAACACCAGGTAAATGATAATATTTATTACGAGTGTATTTATACAGATTGTTGAAATTCTGGCCTTGCCATTTTTTGTAAAAATGAGTGATGTTTCAAAACCAGGTTACTTCAGCATGGCACATGCCCTGGTTTGCCATTGATCTGTGGCTGATCTTCATAAGGATTTAGAATTGTAAATACCATGGCCCATATTCTCACTAGAAATTGATCTGTCTTTTGACCTTATTTGTGTTTTTGCTTTACTTTGTATTGATACATGTGATGTTTCATGTCCCCATGGAAAACTGACAGCATTCAGAAAATATGGCCCTCAAGTCTCTGTTTAAAATCCTCTATCTTTCTCAAATTTAGCATCGCTGTGTTGCTATTTTTAAAGACAAAGTGAATAAACCTACTGGATTTGCCCTTGGAAGTATTGAAGGAAGAGTAGCTATTCATTATATCAACCCCCCAAATCCGTAAGTATCATTTAAAAAACATCCGTTCTTTATTGCTCAGTTTACAATGAGGATAAAAAAAGCTTTTTTTTTTTTTTAAATTGTTTTTTATTATTATTTCCTCCCCAGTGCAAAAGACAATTTCACTTTTAAATGTCATCGCTCCAATGGAACAAACACATCAGCACCTCAGGATATTTATGCTGTAAGTATTCAGCATGCACTCCTATATCATGTATACAGGGCAGTATACACTCTTAATGTAAAATTGGCTGTAAATTATTTATTTTCATTGATCTTTTACCTCGTCTAAAGTTATCTTAAATGTATGTTTAAAGACCAGTCATACTTTAAAAGGAAAGAAATTTATGCACTTAAAACAAGTACCCCATCAACCATTCATCAATTATCTTGTTGGACTTGACACTTGTTAACTTGAAACAGTACTTTATATATTTGTGTAAAGGGATTATGCATTGTATTTTTAAGTGCTACAAAAAAGATAATGCTTTTCTTGTTGCTTCAGTGTTTTTTTTTTTGTTTGCTTGCTTTACCAGAACATATTTGAAAATGTTAAAAAAAAATAACAACGAAACCTCTATTTGAAAAAAAATCTCTGTATTTACTCTTTTAGGATTCAGCACATATGTTGTGAGTGTTCCCATCACCTGGCCATAAGTGTGGTGGTTTACATCGTAATTTTCTGTTTCTGCAGGTAAACGGGATAGCATTTCACCCTGTCCATGGCACTCTTGCAACAGTAGGATCCGATGGTAGATTCAGCTTTTGGGATAAAGATGCACGAACAAAGCTAAAAACATCAGAACAGCTTGACCAGCCAATATCTGCTTGTTGTTTCAACCATAATGGCAATATATTTGCATATGCTTCCAGTTACGATTGGTCAAAGGTAAGAAAGGTTTAGATTCACATTCCATACTTGCAGTTGACAGCTAAGACTGTCCTTTTCACATGAGGCTTTCACTGTCCTTAATGAATAGTAACTGAGTCTTTCTAGTTTCACAAGCATGCAAGGAAATGTACAATCGTCATTTTAGACATCTGATGAAATTTAACACAGAAGTGCATTCCTTGGTTGATAGCTTCTGTCAGATGAGATTGCTGAACAGTTCTGTTTTGCAAATGTGGATGAGCAAAATGTAAATTACATGATGCAAAAGTTATTCTGGTTGCTCACATTCTGCAGTGGGGAGTGTCATGGGGCAGTGTGGCACCCAGCAGGTTCCCACAAATCTCTTTGAAATGCACATCTTTGCTTCATGTGCAGATTCTGTTTAACTTCAAAAAGAAGCTGTGACTGTGGTTATAAACACTTAAACCAGTTTTTGAATGGCATATGCTATATTTCCAGTACCACACGCTTGCTGGTGGCACTTACTTATGTATTTCTCCTCCAGACTTGTCTCAACAATAAATCACATAGATGTAGGAGAATCACACTAAACCATAATACATGGAAAATCAATACTTCTTAATAGTTTAAGTGGGGGTAGCAAGGTTGCAACGTAACTGATTTGAATTGAATGGCAACTTCCATTAAGAATGTTACTTTCCTCTTACAACCAGTGCTTTTAAATTTGAGGATAATATCCCTTATGTTTTTGACTGACATGAATGCAGAGATGAACTCTATTGCATGCCACATAGAGAGCAAACTTTTCATTTACTGCATTGTATCTGGTCTTCTGGATGCTGCCCAAAGTAACATAGCTTTGTTAGATGCTAGAGCAGGTGAATTCTGTTCTAAGTGCTTGGTGGAATGTACCAAGGCATCTCTCTGATCTGTAAACCAATATTAAGTAATAAAACTAGTAGGTACAAAGTACTAGATTTCCTTTCTAGAACCCTTTCTGTCAAGTAGAGTTGGTAATTTTCAAATTTAAATTTTCAAATTAAAGTGTTGGACTTTCATGGCTTTATTAGTGTTTGCTCCTCCTGATTTGGATACATGCGTATTGAGTTGGTAACGTGTATGCAAATAATGTCAACATTCAAAATAGTATATTTGCATCTACAGTTGGGGACCAGATGTTTTTGCAATTGCCTGTAGAACTTGGGCTTCACTTTGGAAAAAAGCATGACCTTAGTTCATTTAAAAGATAGAACATGTAAAGTGAAACTGGATGGCCATTAAAGTTTTAGTTGCTTCTCTGCTCAGAATGGTGTAAAAGAAATCATACTGAGCTCTTTTGCTGCAGCTATAAAGTAGAGCTTAGAGATACGTGGTTACTTCTTTATGAAAAGGTGGGGTTTTTTTAATACCTTAAAAATGGAGAAATATCCCTTAAATTTTACTTCATCTGTACAGTTCTTGTAATTACTTGTTATAGTAAGTTGTTTCTAATCCACCAACATTGTCCAACATCTAGTCTTAAAGACTTCAAGATTAAATCTGAATAAACCAAACTAATGGAATATTCCTATTTTTACATTTTAAGGTAATGCTGATATTTCTTCTTCGAAGAGAGTAAATACAGATTCTTTTTCTTTTTAGGGTCATGAATTTTATAATCCACAAAAGAAAAACTACATTTTTCTGCGAAATGCAGCAGAAGAGTTAAAGCCGAGGAATAAGAAGTAGTGAGTACGAGTCTGACTGGTGTTACTCTACTGTTACTCTGCCATTCCTGCCTCTACTCCACTGCTCTTCTGCCATTTGTGCCCTGTTGCACCACACTTCAGTCAATTTGGGATCGCTAACATTTAGCAGGAACTGTAAAAATTACATTAAGTGTGTTCTGACTTGCTGGAGAGCATTTTTCAGGTTGGATATTCCGATGTGTATAGAACCATCGTCTGTTCCGCAGCAATAATGAAATTGCAATGAAATCTAAATCTGGGTTAGATATTCCTGCTTATAAGTACAACCATTTGTATCTATGGATTTATTTTATTAGTACTACATCAAAATATGTTAATTATAATAGTTCTGCAGAAGTTGTATAAATACTGTACTTTTTTGTAAGTACTCAATCTGCAAATAATTCTTCTCAAAGGAGGCTTGTTATTATTCAGGGGTTCTTTCATTGCTTTCTGGTTTTTAAAATGGAAGTATTGTCTGCTGTGTGCTGGGAAGAAATGCCTCGCAAATTGTTTTCCCTCACTTTTTGGATGAATTAGGTGGGTATGTAAGTGGCCAACAACAGTGACAGAAACTCAAGACAGAAGATGGGCACAGTGCAAGTCTTACTTCAGTTTTTTTCTTGCACTCCAGCAGTGGACCTGACTTTTGAGCCAACAGTACTCACAGTAGTTCAAAGGAGAAATCGCCAGTTGTGCCAAGTGGTATATAATAGCTCAGTAATATGAGCAAACCATTAAAGGTTTTGTTTTGTTCATGACCAAACCAATGCGTGCAAAATACTTGTGGCCTAAACTGCTTTAAAACTGACACCTTTTAGACGTAAATGTTTTCATCCCTTAACAGGGGGTTCTGGACTGAATAAAAGTGCTCATTTTTGTGTTAAATAGAAAACAGTGCTGGTGAGTTTCATCCTGATCAAAAATGCTGTGAAACAAAATGAGTGGGTCTTTTTCTGACTTGAATCTACCACTGTTTACTTCTACTAGCCATTTGTATACATGCCAAAGTTTTCTTTTTAGAAATGAATGCTTGTTATTCTTGTTTTAACTATTGTTCGTTTGATATAATGACTAAATAAAACTGGGGGGAGTGCATGTATAGAAATACCTGTCATATTGTACAAATTCTCTGTAAAACTGTATGTTGTAACACTTCTGGTTATGGGTTCATGCTACATTTCAAATAAAGTTTTTACTAAATGTTTTTTTATTTGGAAGTTCTGTTACATTAACGCGGGTGAGGTGCTGTTCTTCACTTCTAAAAGCAGCTTCTTGTCTTTTCAGTGTAATTCAGACAGTTTTTCTGAAAGTACTTTTCCTCCCGCTGCTTGAGCTGGAAATCTAATGCATTTTCCAGTTGCTGTTTTATTATGAATGATTCCTGGTTTGGTGTCAAAGAATGAAGAAGGCTGGTATGAAAGGCCTTTTGTTTTATAAGAATGAATCAAGTTCCTTGCTATCTCAACAGCCAAACACTTAACAATTTGTCTTTAGAAGAAATGAATCATACTGTCTTCAAACTCCATAGCCATCTGGTCCTTTAACTTCAGACTCTTCTAAGTTCATCTGTTACTGCTGGATATGTATTTCTTTTTTGGTACAGTTGTATAGTTCAGGAGAGTCCACGAAATGCACTCTCCTGTTGCTTAGGGGTGCTGTTTTCTGGGTTTTATTTCTCAAGGTTTTTTTCCTGCTAATTCTATGCTTTATGTGGTTTTAGATTGCACATTCATGTGCTATTTGTTTTCTTTAAGATAGGAAAGAGTTCCCAATAGTTATGCAAATAGCTGGTCATTTGCTCAAACATTTCTTTTGGTTTTGTCCATCTTTTTTTGGTTGATAATTTAAAGGTTGTAATTGTTACGCAGTAACCTTTGCTTTTTAGCACATTTTTCCAGACTTCCCAGTCAAATGCCACCAAGCAATTGCAGGCTGTACATGAAGTGAAGATCATTGATGGCAAAAATTAAGATAATCGTAATCTCTTGTGTGCGGAACTCCCACTGGTGTAAACAGGGAAGGATGGGATGTAGCATCTGCTCCGTGTTTGTGGTTTTGATTATTTATTTTTTTTTTTAAAGTTTAAATACTTAACAGTGTGAATAAGTGATTAGAAAATAGATTTGCTCTAGTTCAGATGCTGGATCCAGTGGAGTTGCTCCTACTGTGAAGTAGATGCTAAGTTTGGCCAAGATTTATTTTCATGATGAAGCCAGCCCTGGTAAGTCTCTTGTTGAGCAATACGCTTCTGTATTAATGAGCTGAGTACTTATTCTCCTGTTGGAATCAATTTCTTTTTATCCATCAGTGATGTCTTAGAATTATTTAGTCATTGTGGTAATTATTCGGACTAATTTTAGAAGGGTGTATTTTCCGTTACATTGTGTCTGGCTGAGGTGGAGTTGATGTTTCCCATTGCAGCCCTCAGTGCTGCGCTGTGTATTGGTAAGGGGCAAGGTGTTGATAACACAGCAGTGGTTTGGCCACAGCTGAGCACTAATCCAACATTCCCCCTCACAAGCAGGCTGGGGGTGGACAGAGCCAGGACAGCTGACCCTAACCGACCAAAGGGATATTCCATACCATAGCACATCTGCTCAGCAGTAAAAGCTAAGAGGAAGGAGGAGTATTCATTATTTACGATGTTTGTGTTCTGGAGCAACTGCTACGTGTGCTGAAGCCGTGCTTCCCAGGAAGTGGCCACAGGTCGCCTGCTGATGGGAAGTAGAGAATAAAACCTTTCGTTTTCCTTTGCTTCCACATGTGACTTTTGCATTTGCTTTGTTAAACTGCCTTTGTCTTTAGCCATAATTCTGTTTTCCATCTTACTTTCTCCCCTCTTTGTCCTGCTGGGTGTGTGTGTGTGTGTGATAGAGTGGCTTGATGGGCACCTGGCATCCAACCACAGCACATGAGATCTATTCAATTGGGAGGACAGAGTCAAACTTTGTTTTGTTACCCAAGTTAAGAGAATGCATTGGTAACTTTTTCTCCCTGGACTTAATGCAAGGTTCTTGTGTAAAAGTACATGCAGCTGTATACCTTCAAACACAGTGAGAGCTTATTCACACACAAGTAAGTGTTAGCGCACGATCTGGAAATCTATTAACTTGCTATTCTATGGCAGTTACCTGTCCAAAAAAAAAAAAGAATGAGGAATGTAAGATTCTAACATGTACCCGAAGCTAACCATAGGAATGCTAGAGTTCTAGAACCACTTCATTAGTTTTTGGATCGTGCTGTCGTTTGTTGATTGCACAAAAATAATCTTTTGCATAAAGAACTCAGTTAAGCCCCCCAAATGGGGACATTCATAAACATTTTCAGCTCTCTTAACCTTTCTCTTGCTCTTCTCACCTGTCTTGCATAATGGTTTAATAAAGTGTATTTTGGAAAACTAAGCAATTGACAGAAAGTTTGTCTGCTAAAGCCTTCCACAAATGAAAGCCAGACATGTTTGCACAATGGCAGTCAGGCAGACAGAGTATCCTAATTTACCATCTGTCGGATGAAATGCAATAGCTGGCTGGGTGAGTACTCCAGCCTAGCTCCTCGGCTGGGAAAGCAGGTGAGTTTGAGTCTTTCTCCAGAGAAGAATAGATTTGAGATAGAGCTGGGGTTAAGGGTAATACATAAATACCCAATAAAACTATTGCTTAGGCCTGGTTCAATTTAATCGTGATTAAGTGCTGTTTGCAGATGAGGTGTTTGGGCAACTGTCCATAAAGAATTGTGTCAAGCCAGTATCAAAAGGTTCACACTGTCTGGCCTTTGAAATGACAGAAGCCACTTATTTCTCATTGCTTTTCTGCTGGTGCTGTTTGTAGAGATGCACCAGGGCAAAATGAAATGTGAAGGTTTATGCAATTATGTTTTACGGTTCCAGTCTTGTTAGCTAATGTCATCTGCTGCGTGGGGTAAGGCCAACTTCCTTCATAAGTTTTTGGTGGAGGAAAAGCTTTTCCTCTGGGCTGTTCTTACCAGCCAGGTGCAAATCACAGAATGGTTTGGTCTGGAAAGGACCTTAAGATCATCCAGTTCCAACCCCTTACATAGGCAGGGATGCCTTACACATGTCGCCCAAGGCTCTGTCCAACCTAGCCTTGAACACTGCCAGGGATGGAGTGTTTTCATCTATTGCTGCAACACAAACCAACGAATGAAACAAATTCAGAATAAAAACAATTCCCTAGTAAAATTTTCTACGCTCGCAGTTGGCAGTACGCACAAAATGCTCTCAATGTGCAATTTAAAGCTGTTGCTGTAAATCTCCTGTTATGCCAGGTGATGGCAGTGTTGATGGCTTCTTAACCAAAGCTTTCCCTCCAGATACCTGTGTGGTTGCCCGAGTTTTGGGGACCTCGGTAGCAGTAAACGTGTTGGTAGCGTATTTGGGGAACACACATTTAAGGAATTTAAGATCAGGCGCGAGTGAGGCTGAGTGAGTTAGTGTATGAACCAGACTACTGGCTATTAGAGTTCCTCTCTAAGACAAATCTTAGTAACGTTGACTAGTTTTCATACTGCTGTCATAGACTATAGGTTTAAAACTGATAAGCAGCTCTAAGTTTTTGTCTAAGTTGGATTTCTTTCAGGAAGAAAGAAAAAATCCAATAAAAATACTTCACTAAAAAAAATCCCAAACCAGGTAAGCTCATTGATAAGCTACTTAAAAACAAGGGTATTTTTTTCCCAAAGTTTGAAATGCAATTTTCATTTTCAAGGCTGGGAAATGCACAAGACACTGAAAGGAAAAAACAGTCTTGAATTATAAGATTTGAGTATGGTTTTAAGTTGCTTATTTACCCCAGGTAGTTATTTTGTCCTTGGGGCATATGTGACCAGTACCCCCTGCTCCTGACCCCAGGGATGTAGTTGGCGTGACTAACACTACTGTGTAAGGCAAGCAGCCACCCTCTGTGGCCGAGTGGGTCATGTATTCATTTCTTCACTGTCAGGCCCTGAAGGTCCTGTGAACCCCGTAGACAAACCAAACAG